ATTGGAGTATCATGCTTTCTGAACTCGACTCTGGGAAGCGGACGGACATGTACACGCTTGCCTCCGTACTCACGCAGACGAAGGACAACCATTCAGCGTCGGCTCCTTCAATCGGTCCTCCGCGGCTGCAAGCCTCCGGCAATGGAATCCCATTCCTCCTCCTGAATTCCAGCGTATGAGAGCCGGTTCCTACGTCTTCTCGATGATCCACACTGAGTGGTGGAATCATGACCCACGGCGGAGAGCGAGGCACATGGGCGCACGCGACCCATCGGTGCGGATCTCATGTGCCTATCATCCTAGTCTACCAGTCAGTCCATTGTTCCTCAGTAGCCCCCGCGTCTACTCACATCAGTCGCTATAGCCAACTCTCAACCTTGATCCTGCATCAGGAAGACTTTATTCGACGAATGGTCACAGATTTCAGCCACAACTGCAGTGCGTATCCTCAAACTGGGCTTCTTGATGCGTTGAGCGGGCCGTGATCCAACGCCACCGTACAGTCTCCCAATAGGCTTGGGGTGAAGATTTACGGTCGGTGTGAGAAGCTCGCCCGTGATCTGTCAACAGGTTCACGGATCCGAAAGCCGCTATCCATGCTGCGCCGCTAGTGAGTACTCTAGAGTCTAGAGCGCCGTCCGATCGGCCGGGTCAACCGCATCAGCAGCCTCGAACGTGTTCCGCGATCCACATTGATCAATGTGCCAATATTCGCTATTCGGGGAAGCCTAGTGGACAATTTTTTTTTGGCGCTCATCTGACAGGAAGAATAGCAGGATCATTATGGCTGACATAGCCCGTGGTACCTCGACAGCATGCGAGCGTGTAGATGGCCATGACCGTACTCATGTCGATCTATTTTGAAGCAGTAAACATGATGGAATCGATAAGAGTCAGCTACCTCAGGACGATAAATGGGTTAGCGATAGCAAATCGTGGGCTTCAGCCGATAGTATTGCATCTCCATCTTGCCGGCAACACAAACGGAATTTTAAATAGCGGTGCGTGGATCCTCACGGACAGCTGATACCCTGGGTCACACAGGCAGGATGTGTGATTAATCACTGATTTTGCTGATCCTTCAATGGCACTCGCAAGCGAGTTGAAATTGGACCAAGTGCAAGCTGAGTTTCAAGTTCCCGACTCGTTGTAAGGCGTTCTACCTTAGCCATTACCAGCAGTTGTATAGTGTATACTTTTTCAAGCTGGGATTCATGCCAAGTAGACGAAAGCCCAGGAGGGAAAGTTGCCGCTGCAAGATCCGCACCGACAACCCGACACATCTCGGCGCCTCTGGGGTAGTGAGATGCCGTGACACGGCGCAGCACCTATGAACAGACTGAGATGGAGAATCAAAGGCAGCCCTAATAGCCGAAGAGCAGACCAACAGAGGAAAGAGTCTCGATAAGGTGCCAAGGCCCCACGCCTGGTCATACCGAGTCCGTCTCGCTATGAACGAAAATGTGAAGATGCAGCCCCAGCACTGACTCTCCCATAAGCGGAAGAAGACACGATGCAGCATGTTACCATATGTTTTCCCCTAGATTCCGATCTGGAGACTGGCTGCTGCATGACACCCAACTTCTTCTCATGTCTTGTCCGGGGTTCCGGCATACCACACAGAGGCGACAGGCTTTCCGCGGCAAGGCTTTCCGCCAACCAGTACGCATCGGGCTCTGGTGCAGGAGGACCTTTGATGCTAATCTTGTGACCGGAGAACCCACAGGGCGGCGCTGACGGAACATCTTCCCTGGAAGAAGACCGGGGTGCCACCCTCCAGAACACCCAGAGTGTGGGTGGCTTAATTGGATCCGCGGTCCTGGGACCGTTCTCTCGGCTTCGCTAATGTGCGGATCGATAATTTGCGCGACATCCTCAATCGCAGGCTTCTGAGAACGACTGTACCGACAGGCGGGCTTCTTCTCTGCCGCTTGGAAGAGGCCAGCGAGTGGCCAAGTTGGGCATAGGTTGCAATCGAACTAGAATAACCGACATGCGAACTAACCTTTCGGTAAAGTCAAAGTGCCTCAAAGGTCTTCATTTGGAAGCCCTCACTCCATATTACTTCGTACTCCTCTTACTTTTCTTCACCCAGGCAGCTAAATGGGCACTCGCCAACTACACATCCATCCGCCCGGGTACCTTGCCTTGGAGGAAGAAGTGTGGCCGTGATCCATGGAGGGGTCGCACGCATGGCAAGGAGCATAGCGCCCTGATCTCGTTGCACTAGCGGTACTGCGTGCCGTTGCCAGTCTTCAAAACCATGTGAAAGTTGAGAGACCAAGATGCTGCCTAGTATGCAGTTCAAGGCTGCTCGCCTTGGCCGTCTGGGGTGGTTTTGCGTCCTTTCCGTAAGGTGTGCTCGTCTACCTGTTACGGCGCTGATCTTGTGTAAAGCTGGGGTTTCTCGATGTGAATTTAATAGCTGTCCATGAAGGGTTTGGGCTTGCCATGCTGCATCGGGCACTATATTTGCACTCCCAAGCTGATGATCCGAGCTTAGAAAGTTTTGCTACGGCGGCATCTTGAACTTCAACAATGACTATTCTTGCCATAAAGTTAGCTGTGCCATGCTCTGAAATAGGGCTTCTAGTTGCCTCATGTTATTTGTGAATGTGCGTTCTTTGTATAACATCCTCCACTAAGCCCAGCCCTCTTGAGTTCACTCAGAAAGACTAAGCAAACATGAAATAGTGTAGGCCAAAAGGGAAGAATGGCATAGACAGTGTAGACATTTGAGTGATGGCATTTCGATTAACATCAAGAGGCTAGAGATCTCACTTATTATATTAACTACATCTAAGAGATAGCACTTGAGTCAGTAGACAGGTGGGCGAGAAGCCTGAAAGTCTATTATCTTGCTTTATCTGTCTCCGAACATGGTGTGTCAGTCGGTAGACTTGTCGACTTTCCTTCGAAATATCAACACTCTCAGATATGCCGCAAAAACAACTGTGAGTGACATTGCCAGACCAGTGAAAAGCTGAACACCGAGATAGCTTCCAGTCAATCCCAAAATAGCGCCAGCAATTGGCGGCCCAATGAGTGAACCGATTCCTTTGAGCACAGCAACAAAACCAAGTCTCGTTCCCAGGATGCCAAGATCATCAGTTATGCTTGCTAGAACGACCGGAGCCAGGGTGACGACACTCGCGCAGAAGAAGCCATACAAAACTGCAAACGCCACGTTGCCCGCAGTGTTATTCACGCTGATCCAGTAGAAAACGGTTATGGCGGTCATGGTACAAATTCCAATATAGGTATTCAGCACACCAAATCTGTCGGCAATCAGGGAAGGCAAAATACGTCCAGGGATACCGACTGCGTTGAGTATCACAAGTAAATATTTGGCTAGAGCCGCGCCCTTCATTCCGTGCGATTGTGCGTAGCTTTGAATGTAGTAGAGAGGCTGGAAGAATGCGAGATTGCTGAAGAAGATAGCAACGCATTGAACCATATATCGAACATCCAGAAGGCCAGCGATTTCGGCGATTTCTTTCAGCGAGTTGTTCTTTGATATTAGGGTTTTAGCACCCTTGGTCCGAGGTCGTGCCACAATCACGGCATAGCAAGACATGGCTAAAGTGACGAAACCTATCACTCGGACGGTCCACGGAAAGCCTATTCGAGGCTGCAAGCTCTCAAAAATGAGGGGATAAATGGTAGCTCCCAGACTGCTTCCAACGGTTGCCACCCCCATTGCCAACGCCCTTCGGGCTGTGAAGTAGGGAGGAACCAAGGTGATGGCGACGATATACAGGCAGCTGGAGCCAATACCAACACAGAAGCCCTGCGCAAGTAAGAACTGATAGTACTGTGTGCTGATGCTGGTCATCATGAAGCCAAAGACGACGAGAAATGTCCCTGTCAATAACATGGATCGAGCGTAGCCGAGATCATAGAGCGGGCCAAATATGACACCACCAGCCATGAGAAAGAAGACTTGGACTGAGCCAATCCATGCAATAGCTGAAGATGAATCGCTTTTGAGCAGTGTAGTTTCGTAGTATGTCTGGAAAGCACCAAAGCCGTTGAGCAGACCCCTGCGTCGAGAGGCGTTAGTCGAGCACAATTGAGGTAAAGAGAAGGGACAAAGCCTCCCGGATATGAGACGAAGACTCACAGACTATTCCAGTAGAGTGCGAAAGCCGACGAAACTTGGAGCCAAGCTACCATTCCTCCATCAGTAGCTGGCGATTTTTGGACCGCGTTTCCAGGTTCTGTTGACGATCGTTCCGGGATCGGGCGCCCATCATTAAATTCGTCGTCTTCCCGAAGCCCGACCGAGAACGGCTCAACCACGGGCGGTCGAGTATGCAATAACTCGTCCTTGGTCATTTTTCCGAAGCATGATCCATCAAGATCACGGTGCAATTCTGTTGTAGTTGTAGATCAATGTTTCCAAGTTCAGTACTCTAGTGTTGCAGTGCCGGGGTGGATTAACGGCAAAAGCGGCAGCTGTGACCGGCATCGGAGAGCGGCTGTTGAACTCGGATAAAGACGGATCCAGGGTGTTTCTCTAACGCCGAAATCAAGCTCACTACTCGGATTCACGACCGCTGACACTTTAGCAGTACTACGTGTATCTCATTGAATTCATCTCTGAGTAAGTTGACGAAGTCCATTCTTTTAGCAGAATACATTATTGAATCTTTGTGTATGTTGAATACCACCGTTCTGCCGCCATGTTGAAATATTTGTGACGCAAGTTGCCGAGGGTAATTAAGGTAGTTTAAAATGTTGGATGGTTAAGTACTAAGCCTGCCAGGCACTGACCCAATCGCAAGAACGAGATGATGTGATGAGTAGCATTGGTGTTTAATATGTGCTTGAACAAAGTACTAATACATACAATAGCGTACAATAATCTAAGCGAATCTTCAAGCGCACGTAACACTGTATAGGCTTTCGTATAAGGCTTGTAATACTTTCATAACTCCACAAATTCTCTGGGCACTCTTGGAACTCGAATGACCAGATCAAGAGAGTGATCAAAAGCTTCATTTCCATGTATGCCAGCTTTCGTCCGAAGCAACCGCGAAGTCCAAGGCCGAAGGGCAAGGTCGGCCCTGCAGAACCATTATATTCATCATTACCCTTCTCATCTCGTACAAGCCAACGATCCGGCTTGACTTTCCCATCTCCTGGGAGTCCCAGACCCTGGAACCAAAATCGGTGGCTGCTTTTCTCGAAGATGTGCTCCGCAGGCGTTCCTCGATCTCATATCCCGGCTCAGTAAAGCTTGGACCCCGGTTTGGGACGATGACGGTGGTACCCTTGGGGATGACATGGCCCAAGATAACTGTATCTTCTTTGCACTCTCGATCTTGACTAGTTGCTGTATGAGCAAGCCGAAGCATCTCCTCAATAACTACGTCTAGGTACGGTATGTTTGCTTCGCAAATCTCAGAGTGGGTAGGAAGACGACCCTCACTACTTGCTGCGGTGTGAAAGCTCCGAATGCTTTCAAAAAGTCTCTGCTGAACTGCTTGGTCATCCGCGATGAACTTGATGCCTCAACAGAGGGTTGTGTTCGTCGTATCATGTCTAGCAACAACAAAGCCGGCAGACTAAGACGATATTAGGTCAGTAAGTTATCTAGCGTCGTTCCTTCAAATTCGTCTTCCCTCAGCTCTCATGGTTTCGATCCAGTCAGGGAGAAGGTAGTCTTCCTTCTCCATGACACTGTTCAGCCTTTGTACCATCAAGTCAATTGCAGACTTAACGTGTTTGTCCTCATTGTCAACATCCCGAAGTTGTGTTTTGAATCTGTCCGATGCCTGCAGAACCTGATCAACAAGGAAATCGTCTCGCACCGCTCTTCCCCGACGTACGCTTGGTCTCAGCCCAATGACTGATCATGCAAGCTTCGGAAACCCGGTCATTGCTACGCTGCCAATGTTTTCTGCCGACTGCAGCGTTGCTTAGGTCGATAAAACAAGGCAGTGTGACTTTATCATTTGAAAATTCAGGCACGAACTCACAGCCGACCACGTAGTACCGTCTATCAGAAGGGATTCTCAGGGCGCCGTGCGAACTACCGACGGAGTATCTGGGAGCAGGGAATGTGATAGCAGTTCATCAGTACGTTTAACCCAGCGCTACAAACCCTTCTCGGTTGGAATTACCTAGCCATCTTGAAAAGGAGCTCTAGTTTAAATTCCCAGTTGATTTGAGTGCGGTGAGAGCCAATGTTTAGAGTGGAATTCAGAGTTTACTACAACACTTGATATGCGTGGAACTCTGCATAAACAGGGGAGAACCGGAGGAGACGATGGAGAAACTCTTCTTATAAAGCTCCGAGTTACAATAGAAAGAGATTACTTAAAACCAGCTTGGATCCGATATCCCCTGCCAGTCTGTGTGGCCTTCAGGTTGAGCTTTCCGACACATTCCCCTTCCTCATAAACGCGGGTAATGTTGCCACCACTAGCTCCTTGTGTTTTTGAAGTGGGGTTGCCGAAGAAGACTTGCGTGAAGGGAAGCTTAGAACAAACATGGCTGGGTTTACCATCGTTCCAGTTGTAGTACTCAACAAAACCGGATTCTCCGTTCAGTATTTTGCCTGCGGAAGATGGGAGCGTCCATTCGCCGATTACATGAGACTTTCCAGTGACGGTATCGTGAAGAGTTCCTCTCCAGGTTGTGCCGCCAGTGTTCCACACCGCGAGATTATAGACGTGAGAATAGTCGCCGAAAATGTCAAGGGCGCAGCTAACTCCGGGACCACCATCTGCGCCCGGGGAGCAGTTCTTATGCTTGGTAGTCGTTCCTTTCTGGAATGAGGAAAAGACTGCATGGACGACCTGTCTACGTTGGTCGTCGGGACGCGGCTGTAGCCCCGTATACCCAATATCATTAACCCCGTGAAAGCCGAACTGCTGGGCAAAGTAGAAACCACTCTTGCGAGGTGCCCCTTCCATGCTCATAGGGAAAGTTATTTGGCTCAATCCAGCCGAAGGTGTCTCTGAGAATGCCCAGTCATTATAGACTGAGGCCAGACCCAGAGAGGGGAGGTGGAGAGCCAGGACCGTCGCTGTGAGTTTCATAATGAGTGATTTCAAATTGTGATCGGTGCAAAGAAATAGCAGAAATGTCGGAATGGTCTCAAAGGTAAGGTATGGTATGAGAAAAAATACCAAGGAAGGCGGGTTTTTACCTCCATTTAAGGAATTGGGTCACAAGAAACATAACTACAATTTGACACTCCAAAATGTGAAGTTTGTGACCCAGTCACGACGGGCTTATTCTTCGTCATGCCGATTCTTGGTATAAAATGCCTCACGTTGCACTGTCTGCGGTTTAGGCAGATCTCACCAAAGTATGCTAAGGAAGCGTCGGGCTATGTTGTGAAATGGAATGTCCGGATGCATCATATTGAAGCAGACACCGGCAAGAGTTCAGCTCTGATATAGCAAGGGATAATACATCAGTTGCTGTAGTAGGCAAAGAACCGCTGATGGTCTGAAACTTAAATGGCAATTTCTGATCAGGCCCATAATTCGGACGCGAGCAGGGTGTCCAGACTACCTGGTGAGGTGACTAATTAGTCACTAGTCAGACTTAAAAGTCAGCTTTAAAGTTTAACTAATTGACCAACCATCGTGAGAGGGCCCAGCCAGACTTGGAACATAGGGCTGTTGTGACGACGGGACTGAGCTGCTATCCAAATGAGGAGGTTACCGGGTGGTTCTCTCTTGATGTCGGGAATATCACCGAAAATACTCTTTGCGGCATGTTTATTGTATGGAATGCCAGGTATGGGCTTCGGCAGGATGATCTGGTAAAGGATGTACAAAATTGGCAAGACCGCGGTGAAGGGGGCCAGAACGGTCAGCCATTGTATGGGATTGGTGATATCCAGCATGTCTGCCATGATTAGGATTGTTGTTTCAGTTCTTATGTGGTGAAGATCACAAGTGACTGATGTGCCCAGTATACCTTATATGTGAGATGGTAGATGGAACATCGATGTCTTACATCTTGGTGCAAAATGAGAGGTCATGGTCATGAGGTAGATTCGTTATGCTTCAATAAGGAAAATGCCTGGGTCAGTCCTCTTGGTCGGACAGTAGCCAAACCTAAAGCCTTGCGTCGGGGGACGCCACAGTTGAAGGCTTCAACGGAGCTTGTAGTTGAGCCGGCAAAGATCGGGGCGGGAGCGGAGACTAAGTCCATCTCCGGTGTCTCAGCACTTTTATGCTGCCAAACTAGCAAGCTATTCACTTGAGACCCAGAGGTAGCCATTTCTCATGTACTGGCTTTGAGGTGTTAGGCGGGATCTCAGTCTTCACTGTTTCGCAGCTGCAGTACTTGATAGTCAATTCATGAATGTTGGAGGGCTATCATAACGATACCCTCGTACTGAGTCTCCAGGCCTCAACACCTAGATTACGGTCAGCACAGAGAAGATATTGACAGTACGAATGGAAGAACTGAAACGGAGTCGGCTTATTGCAGCTCCGACTCCGGCGGCTGCTCAAACGAAAACTGGAACTCAACATTTGAGGTTCTATTCCACTAGGATTAAATGGGCTACGGTATAAGGCATACAGGGCTGCAGCTATTAGGAAGAGATCTACAGGTCTGTCTCACAGACAGCGAGCTTCATCAGCGATCGTATGTAGTTGCGTCGTCGGAATTCATTCAAATTAAGGTAGCAAGTAAAATAAGTATGTAAGTTTTCCTTTCTAGGTAGGAACCGCACAGTATGTAAGTCCCATCAAATAGCACTCGCAATGATCTTCGCAGCCGCCACCTCAGCAACACCGTACGCAGCTGTCTGAATGTGGCCAGATACAATAACGGGCACAATACTGTTGTCGACTACTCGCAGATTCTGCGTACCATAAACCCGCAGATCAGCATCGACGACACCACCCTCAGCCTTGGGAAGAAGAGAGCAGGTTCCGACCGGGTGGTAGAAACTCGTGACCGTGTTGACGGCAAACTCACGGAACTGATCGTCAGTCAAAACATCCGGGCCAGGCTCCGTCTCAACTTCCCAGACGGCCTTGAGGGGTCCCGTCTCGGCAATCTTGCGCGCAAACTTGGCGCCCTCGACAGCGGCCTTGATGTCGTGCTCGTTGCTCAGGAACTTAGGGTCGATGATGGGCTTGCCGGTGGGGTTCGCGGGATCAATGTGCACGTTGCCCCGGCTGAGGGCATGCATGACGGTGCTGAAGATGGTAATGAACTTGCCGGAACCAGGGTATCCGGCCGCGCCCACGTAGTTTGCGTCAAAGATGAGTTCATAGTCCGGGACGGAGTCGTCTTTGAGGAACTCGAGCTTCTTCTTGTCAATGGGGTTGGTGCTGTTGCCAAACTCCGCCTCTGCAAGAGCAATGATCTCGGCCTGAGCCGATTGATTTATTTGCCCCCAATTCAGAAATCCGTATGCCGCGGTCGTGTAGTCGTAGAGAGACACCTCGCCATCGATCCACTTTTGCAGCTCAGCGGTGGCGTTAGCACCGCTGGAGTCAAAGATGAGCGCATCGAAGGAGTCGAACTCATCCTTGAGACGATAAACGTTGGACGTGCGGATATGGTCTTGGTAGTTCTCACCGACGCCAGGCAAGTCAATGAGCGGCTCAACACCGGCGGCTTTGAGCACAGCTGTCTGACCAATACCAGACACCTCGAGCAGACCAGGACTTTGAATAGAACCAGCAGACAAGATGACCTCTTTGACAGCGTTGACAACCGTGCCATCGGCCAGTGTCACACCAGTGGCAGTGTAATCGTTGCCATAAGTCTTGTTAAGATTGACCTTGACGACCTGGGCATTGGTCCTCACCTCGAGGTTCGACCCTGCAAGTGGAAGATAGCTGTTGGCGCTGTAAGACCGGGAATAGTCGGTATTGTCGATGTTGGTGCCCTGGAACATGATGCCAATGGGGTTGCCGTGCATGTTACCTTCCTCGTTTATAGGAAGACCGAGCTCCGTTCCGGCTGGTTGCCATGTGTTGAGGACATCATACACCACACGGTTGTAGGTGTTACGGATGGGGCCAGAACGACCACGAGGGTCTTTGTCGGAGCCCGTAAAGTTCTCCGACTTGGTCATGGCCTCGATCATGACATCCCACGACCAGCCTCCGCTACCCATCTGGCCCCAAGCCTCATACTCGGCCGCAGCAGCGCGGTCATAGCAAAGGTAGTTCATGGCTGACGAGCCACCCAGAACCTTGCCGCGGTTGACGGGGATCTGACGGCCACCGAGAGCGCTCTGGCCAACTGAAGTGAAGTTCCAGTCATATTGCGTCCCCAGTATTGAGCCTCTCAGACCAGGTACATTGATACGGAGCTCGTCTAGAGCAGACGGGCCAGCCTCGAGAAGCAAGATATAAGCATTTGGAAG